AACCCCTGAGGGAGGTCAGGGTGGAGGGAGGCACTCTGTGCTCCAGGGAGTCTGGTGGGACAGGTCTTTTAGATAGTTGGGTGTTTTTAGGAACAGATTTTGTGATCTTGTTAGGTAGTTAGAATAGGGAAAAGGAGTCCAAAATGGCAGCTAAAAGATAAGGAAGGGGAAAGCCCTAGAAAACAGAACAGAGGACTAGAGTGAGGACTTCAGGTAGAACAGCACTCCTGGCTGAGCCCAATTTGCATAGAGCAGGCCCAGGGGGGTGAAAACATATAAAAGGAGGAGCCAAGCGTGGGTGCACGCGCTCTCTCTCTCCTGCGTGCCTTCTCTCTCTCTGTTCCCCTGCCCCCGCGCGCTCCTCCACTTTCTTCTCTTCTTGGAGAATGGATTCTCTTGCTATCTCCAAATAAAATAGAGCTGTAACACTGATCTGTCTCAGAGCTATGACACACGGTTTGTCCAAGATCCGAGGGCTGTGATGCTGAAGGCTTTAATCATTGTTGAGACAAGAACCGAGGAGCACACACTCGCCTGACAATCTCAATCCTTGCAACTCCTGATATCTAGAGAAGCACTAAATCCCTTCATGGTGATATCAGATCCTCATGACTAACCAAAATCCTTTTGTCAAATGAGTTGCTTCATGGTATTGAAATCCCCCTTCACCAAAACCTTATATATTGACTTTCTCCCACTGCTGCTTTGGAGCAGTCTCTCAGAGCTATCTGAGATGCTGCCTCGCGGGCTGCAGTCCTCATTTTGCCCCAAACAAAACTTAACTCACAACTCTCAAGTTGCACATCTTTTCTCAGTTGACAGTAGGTTGATAAGAAGTCCGGGGTCCCTGAGGAGGATAGGGGTCTGGGGCTCTCAAGGAGGAAAAAAGGACAATTTTGTTTTTTTCCTACATTGCTTTGTCTTAGTCAATATAACAATGGATCTTGCTTGAGGACATGTTTCTCCTTCTTGAGATCCTTCTGACTAATTCTGTCATCTTAAAATATAAATTGCTTGGGAGTGGGTCTGGTAAGACCTTTACAACCTTGAGATATCCTTTTGATTTACTGTAATAACCGATTGAAAAAGTATATAACTCCCTTGCTAAGACTAGCAAGGGTGCACTCTCTGTCCCCTTTCTGATGTCTGTCAGAAGCTTTCTCTGTCCCTTTTTATACTTTAATAAAACTCTGCTACACAAAAGCTCTTGAGTGATCAAGCCTGGTCCCTGGTCCCGATGCTACATCTTCTCCGAACATCACAAATCCAACATTGTTCACTGTAAGCTATCAGTCCCCTGGGACCTGCACGGCCTTGCATTCACAACTCCAAAGCAGTGACTTGGTCACCTTCACTTGGGGAGGCCCACATTCTGCCATCACCTTCCACATGGCCAGGAGCCTGGGCGTGAGTACAGAAGAGATCAGGATTGAGCCCATGCCCCATGGCACTATGGGGTGGGCAAGAAGGCCGGTGTCCCTGCCCTAGTCTGGTAGCACCACAGTACATTCTATGTGCCACCAGCAGGGGTCTGCTGCTGCCACCACCCAGGAATCAAGGGCACAAGCATGGAGGTTTGTAAACTGGGGGTTGCACACTCATTGTGAGTTGTAGTGGGTCCATAGAAAGAGACTGACTTTCTGATCCCTACCCATAGCCATGCATCTTCATTTTGCACTGAGCCCCACAAATCATGTGGTCAGCCCTGGTGACAGTAATAAATTATAACTCACTGAATAAAATAGGAATCTGTGAATCAAACCAACACATCACTTCTGCAGTATCCCTACCAAAAAGGTATAACCTGAAGCTATCTAATCATACAGAAGCATTAAACAAATTCAAATTAAGGTATATTTTACAAAACAAACCAACATTCTTTGAAAATTTCTAGGTCATAAAAGGCAATGACTAACAAGCCTGGCAGGCTACAGTCCACGGGGTTGCAAAGAGTCAGACATGACTGAGCGACTTCACTTTCACTTTCAAGAAACAAGAATAAATAAAACCAAAGGACCATGAACTAAATTCAAATGTGACCCTAAATGAGATCCCAGTTCAGAAAAATATTTTTGTCTTGTTCTAAAGGACATTAATAGGACTTAGTAGAATCGGAATGAAATCTGAGATTAGATAATATCCTATCAATCTTAACTTCCTGATCTTGATTATTACACTATAATAATAAATGAGAACATCCCTGTTTTTAGGAATTGCACACTAAAATATTTAGAGGTTACGGGAATCACATGGGCAACTTACTCTGTTTTCAAAGGGTTTAGAAAAATAATAAGTTTGTGTGTGCATAATACGTAAGCACATATATACAGAGAAATTAAAGCAAATGTGGATAAATGTTAACATCTGTGGAACCTGGATAACAAGTATATGAAATTTTTTTATATTATTTTTGTACTTTTTAAGTCTGAAGTTACTTCAATAGCTAAAAAAATTTTTAAATTCTCTTCAGAAAATCCCATAGGATCAAGTCAAGTGGCCCCCTTGAAAATCTATCATTGTCTTGGCTTTCCCTCTTTAACTTTCTTTTCTCCTTATCTTGCCCTGCTGACCTTGGAGTCAGAATAACGGATTTGTGATGAGACTGCAGAACCACCAGCTGCTGTTACCTGCAAGGCCCTGATGGGGCTCCTTTCACTGAGGCACTGGTGAGGAGGCCACTGACATGGATGTCCTTTATGAGATGAGACTGACAGAAGACGCTGCAACAGGACTCCCAAGTTAGAAACAAAAGAATTTCCAAGTAGCAAAGGTCTGATGGCAAGTCATAACTGCTAAAATGGGAAGTCAGGCTGGAGCATACCCAGGGTGTCTTGAATTGATAGCATACAGGGTTCTATTCCAACAGCATAAAAGGTCACCATATTCTGAAGGAAAAGATAGAAGGGTGTTATTGTTTTGGGGAAAGAAAGGAGTGTTTCTTGACTCATATATTTTTTCATATATTTTTAAAAGAAAATTAAGTAGTAGTGAGCAGAAGGCTGTTGGTTTTCACACTGGGAATCAAGATCTTTTAAATTTCCTGATTTAAGTCATTCTGCAAATTTAGACCCAACAATTAAAGAAGCTGTGTTTACCTGAGGAAGGACTCCTCAATGCCACAAGAATCTACCATAAACTTTCCTCTGCTCCTACCAAGAGACCCAAGGCCTTTAACCAGGACAAAATTCAGATCCTGTTGACTGCATGATCTGAGGCTGGTACAAGGAAGCTCTAAATTGACCATAGTCCCTCAGTTTAGAGTGCAGGGTCCTTGGGGGTGGGATAAAATAGATACAGGTTTAGCCCAAATTTGTTTTACAGGAACCCACTGTCATTCCTCCCCAAACTGAGGTCCACGGATAGGATATATAATATGTATACACACATATTCACACACATATATATATACACACACTCAATAGCTGGAAAGGATCTCACATTGATCTTACAGGAAGAGCCATGCCTTAGTCTGTTCAGATTGCTATTAATAAATTCCACTAAATAAGTGGTTTAAACACAGGTATTTTTCTCTCACAGTTTTGAAGGCTGAGGTGTACAAGATCAAGGGGCTGGCAGAGGCAGATTCAGTATATGATGAAGCCTCTTTTCCTGATTTGCAGACAGCCACCTTCTTACATGGGCAAGAGACAGAACACGTCTCTGGTATCTTTTCTTTAAGGGCACTAATCCCACTGATGCTTTTAAACATAGGTGGCTCTGATGGTAAAGAAATTGCCTGTAGTGCAGGAGACCTGGGTTTGATTCCTGGGTTGGGAAGATCCCCTGGAGAAGGAAATGGCCACCCACTGCAGTATTCCTGCCTGAAGAATTCCGTGGACAGAGGAGCCTGACAGCTACAGTCCATGGGGTCACAAAGAGTTGGACAGGACTGAGCCACTAACACTACTATTAATCCCATTGATAAGGGCTCCACCCTCAGGACCTAATTACTTCCCAAATGCCCCACCTCCAAATACCCAAACAAGGGGATTAGGGCTTCCCCCCATATGAATGGAGGGATGCATTCAGTCCAAACCACATCATTATTGTATAAAGAACCAACTGAAAGCCCCTGAATCTCCTTTCCCTGACTATGACAACAAATTGGAAGCAATTCATGCAAAGAACTGCAGACATTAACACCACCTTCAAATATATGAAGGATATAGGGGTGGGGCATCTCCACATTGCCATTCAATTCAGTTCTTTGGGCCTTGCAAAGACTAAACAGACGTTTTACAGATGGATGGTGATGGTGGTCACACAACAGTGTGAATATACTTAATGCCACTGAAATGTACTTAAAAATCATAAAAATAGTAAATTTTTATGTTATGTATACTCTACACCATACACATGTACTAGACGAATTATGGAAGAAAACAATGGACTACCCGAACTGCAGCTGCTACTCTGGAAGCAGTGGGGTTTTTTTTCCCCCTGACAGTGTTTTTTTTTTTAATATTTTTTTATTTGGCTGCACGGGGTATTCACTGCTATGCACAGGCTCACTCTGGTTGCAACAGCAGGGCCTTCTCATTGCAGTGGCCTCTCACTGCAGAGCACAGGCTCCAGCAGTTGTGGCATGTAGGCTTGAGCTGTCCTGGGGCACATGTAATCTTTCCAGACCAGGGATCAAACCCATGTCCCCTGCATTGGCAGGTGCATTCTTAACCACTGGATCATCAGAGAAGTCCTCTTTGACATTTTATTGAGATATAATCTCACACAATAAAGTTGTAAAGTGTGCACTTCGGTGGTTTTTAACATATTCACAAACCTGTCACTGAACACCACTATCTAGTTCCAAAACATTTTCATTATCCTAAAAAGTAACACTATATCCATTAGCAGTCACTCCCTATGCCTTCTTCCCCTTAATCACTGGGAAATACTTAATACTAATCCACTTTGTCTCTATGCATTTACCTATCCTGGACATGTCCTATAAATAGAATTATACAATATGTGGCCTTTTGTGCTCAATCAAGGAATATTCCATTGCGTGGATATACCACGATATAGTTATACGTTCACTGGCTGAGACATTTGGATTATTCCACTTTGGGGCTATTATAATAATGATGCTACGAGCACTCATTTACAAATGTTTATGCAGATGTTTTCACTACTCTGGGATACACGTCTACAAGCAGAATTGCTGGGTCAAATGGTAACACTATATGTTCTTTTTGAGGAACTTAAAAACTTCCACAACTGCCAAACTTGTTTTATATTCTCACCAGCAATATTCAAGGATTTCAACTTCTCCACATTCCCATCAATACTTACTACTTCCTCTCTGACGGCAGTCACCCTAGTGTATGTGAAGTGGCATCTCACTATAGCTTCGATTTGAATGGCTGTAGTACCTTTACTACACCCCACTCCAGCACTCTTGCCTGGAGAATCCCATGGATGGAGGAGCCTGGTAGGCTGCGGTCCATGGGGTCGCTAAGAGTCGGACACGACTGAGCAACTTCACTTTCACTTTTCACTTTTGCACATTGGAGAAGGAAATGGCAACCCACTTCAGTGTTTTTGCCTGGAGAATCCCAGGGACGGGGGAGCCTGGTGGGCTGCCGTCTATGGGATCACACAGAGTCAGACACGACTGAAGTGACTTAGCAGCAGCAGCAGCAGTACCTTTACTGGGGGGAAAAAAAAAATCAACTCATTCTCTGACAGCTGGTATGTGACTATCAAACAGACAGGCGCATCCTTCTCAAAATAATCAAAAGTAGTGATTTAGCAGCAGCAGCAGCAGCAGTTCAACTTCGCCCCTCTCTCTCTTAATCCTGCTACTTACACTGATCTCATCATAGATAGTTTATATTAAGTTATAATTAATTTTTCAAAAAAAAGAAATGAGTTGATTTACAGTATTTTGTACATGTGTTACATTTAAGCTGTCACTGAAAATATAAAATTAAATCAATTCTCAGCAATTTCCAAAAGACCCTTTAACTATATGAATAGCTTCATAAAAAATTAACTCTTCCATGATCGTGATTATTAATGCAAATTTGCTTAGTGAGTTAAGTAAACAGATCTGTGTAATGTTTGCCACCCTATGTGACACCATCTACAGTCTCAAAAACCTCTATTTATTTAATTTGAGCCATCCTGATTCTCAATTTACACCTCCATTCTGCCTGGGATGAGAAAGCCAGGAATTGAAAGAGTGCTGAAGTATATTAAAGCAGGCTAATTGCAGGCTAATTGAGGGGCATTCTGCAGGAGGTAGGTAACTTGGTTAACCTTATTTACAAACACAACTGTAAACACAATTCCCAGCTGGTTTATATACCCTAGACTGCCAATGTATAGGCAGGATTCCCAGAAAAATAAGCCTCAACTAAGAAATAAAATATTCCTTAATACATTCATTTTTGCTTAAAGGGAAACAAACTCATAGATCCTGGTGAAAAGACACAGAATGGCAAAAAGTAAAGTAAACATTAAAATTGACAGTGCTACTTTTAAAGCTAATTTAAAATCACTATCAATAATGTACTTACATTTAAAGTATAATTGATAACTTTCTACTAGATTTATAGTGAATAACTTTTTACTAGATTATTTATACTCAATGTATAATTTCAATGGAATTTTACGCAATTACAGTTCAACTCCATGTAGTATCAACTTTTCTTCTCTTCTGAGTCTTCTACCAATTTCATTTTTTCTTTTAACTCCTTCTGATCTCTGGAATACTGTTCAAATATTGGTTGATAAATATATATTCCTCCAGCAATTCCAAGGAGGCTAGCAAAAAGCAGTTGTGGAAAAGTCAATCTTCCAAACATTTTTTCATCAAACACTTCACAGCACAAGGATGGTTCTAAAAAAACAAACTCCACATCCAGGAACTCTCTTCAGGTCTGTATACAAAGAAAATGGGAAGTAAAGCAGTAACTCAGCACAATATCCTTTATAAAGACTTCATGCCACAACTTTGCTCCTGCATAAACAGTATTTTTCTCATTATATGTAAATATGCTTTTTGATGTAACTAAAATAAAGAACATAGATACAAAGCGAATATGAGAAATGAGGGTTAGGGGATGGTGTAAGATAAAGCTAAATGCTATTATAGAATGTTTTCTGAGGTTTTAAAGTGATACTTTACTAAATGGCAGAAGCATGGAAAAAATAGAGGAACATGCTTTTTATGCCTTTAAAGGTATACAAAACTATTCAAAGAAACAGCCGTCCAGGAAAGTTAAATGTGACTGCCAATCTCATCTGAAAGGGGAGAGATTTGTTACTTTGCATTATTAGCTCTTCTTTACTATTTCATGACAATATGTGTGATTAAAAACAATTTTTAAAAATTAAAAGATTTTCTAGTTCCTTTGATGCTATAGTAGATACAAACTGACATCACCTCTAAGTCATCTACCATCCATTTTTGACAAAAAATAAAATAGGGATTCCACTGGTTTTACTTTTAACAACTGAAGGGTTAAGACTCTAGAACTTCTCAGAAAATTATATTCTTTGCAATAGTCTATAGTCTGGTAAGTTCTATGGTTCGGAGATACTAAGTACATATTTATAAACAGGTAAAACAGAGCGAATCATTTTTATGTTTTCTTTATTATAACAATATTTCAGCCTCCTAAGCCAGTCCCCGGGGTCACAAAACTCAACAGTGGCGGAGTAACTAGTAGCTGCTTCTTAATATATCGGTAAAATCGTAATTTACCATTTTTCTGGGGGAAAAAGTCTTTTTTCCTCCTGGACTCTACACTTAACTAGATAAATGAGAACTTCACCAAGCTTGGTTCGATGACTACTGAGTGTAAGAAAAGGATACATTTGCAAGTCAGCTCCTTGTGAAACGGACAATTAAACCACAAGTAAATTCGGGAAGGTTCCCCTTCCGCTGCTAGTTCGCTAAGTGACACTGACCAAGCCCTTTAACCTTTGGGGGGCCTCATTTTCCACATCTGTACAAGCGGCTAAATTACCCTTATCCCGCCTACGTCGCTCACCAAATAGTCACTGTAAGATCACCCAAAGCATGCAACGTTACACCAACACTTCCGTTTGTAATTATCAGTACTATTATTACCACTCACACACCGTTCTGCTTCAGCTCCCCGCCGCCTCCAGGCTGCACCCGCAGAGGTGAGATCCAGTTCCTTTCAGCAGTTTCCGCACCCCGGCCGCAGAGACCACAAAACCAAAGGAAGGGAACAATACCTCGAGAAAGAACTGTAGCAGGGAAACCGCGGACCAGTCCTCGGCAAAGACGTACACGCGTTGCCTAACGAGCAATACTGGGCCGCGGGGACCACCGTTGGGGGTGGGCGGGACGAAGAGGCCTTTTCCCAGCTATCTCCGCGCCTGCCGGCGACAGCAGCTTGCAAAAGCCAAACTTAGTGGGCGGAAGAGCAACGCGCGCCGCTTCAGCCATCCATTGCTGGTGACGTTGGCTGCTGGCGGTCCCCAGTGGACCTCACAGCTGATGCAGAATGGAGCGAGACGACAGCGGAGGCGGCGGCCTCTTTTTCCGCGGTCTCCAGAACCGCTCCCATGAGAAGACGAAGCTGCGAACGAGAAAGTCCACCTTGTATCTCAGCCCGCAGAGGAGCACCGGGCGCTGCGGGGGTGAGTGGGGGGGTGTGGACGCCGAGCTGGGTGGTGGTGGCGGGAAATCGGCGACCCTGAACGAGGGCTCCATCTACTGGGGGGCCAGGAGTGGGGGGCGGGCCGGGGCGGCTGATGGTGTGCCAAGAAATCGCGTTGCGCTGGAAATGGGATTCCGGAACCCCGTCTCTTGCAGAGCACTGTATTCTGTATTGTTTTGTGCCAGCTTTCCGCAGCCATGTGAGGTGAGTAAGCATAATGTGGCCATCCCAAGTCAGCGAGGGAGTGGCCACCCTGACCCAGTGTTCCCAAAGTTTCGGTATCTACGGAGGGCTGATTCCTAGAGTGGAACCAGGTCTGACACCCGCCACATTGCTTTTTCCTGCTGGCCCCTCCGCCTTCTCTTTGGTCTCCTTGTCACCCTGACAGGAGAAACATCACCCCAGCAAGTGGGATTCTGATCTGTCGGAGGGGGTATTTAATATGTAGATGGGTTCCTCATTCATTCATTATATACTGCGTGCCTTGTATGTGTCAAAGTCTGTTGTTTAAGGGCCAGCTGAGTAGTTTCTTCTGCCTGAGTCCACTAAGAGGAGAAAAGGAGAGAACACAAGGTTTTCGGACAGCAGATAGAGTCCTGTAGGGAGGTTTGTTTCTGAAAGTTCAGAAGGGGCACTATGTGGCGTTGAATGCACCAGTTGAGAACACTTAAAATATGTTCTTGCATTCTCTGACCTAAATCACAGCAGGATCCTCTATGATCCACCTCCTAGTATAATGGAAATAAAAATAAACCAGTGGGACCTAATTAAAAGCTTTTGCACTACTAAGAAAAGTATAAGCAAGGTGAAAAGACAACACTCAGAATGGGAGAAAATAACAAATGAAACTAACAAAGAATCTTCAAAATATATAAGTAGCCCAGGGAGCTCAATACCAGAAAAACAAACAACCCAATCAAAAAGTGGGCAGAAGACATGAACGTACATTTCTCCAAAGAAGACATACAGATAGCTAAGAAACACATGAAAAGATGCAAAACATTGCTCTTTAGAGAAATGCAAATCAAAAAATGCAAATGAGGTATCATCGCACACCAGTCAGAATGGCCATCATCAAAAAGTTTACAAACAATAAATGCTGGAGAGGGTGTGAAGAAAAGGAAACCCTCTTACACTGTTGATGGGAATGCAGACTGATACCACCACTATGGAGAACAGTGTGGAGATTCCTTAAAAAACTAGGGATAAAACTACCATACGACCCAGAAATCCCACTGCTGGGCATATACTCTGAGGAAACTAGAATTGAAAAATACACGTTGTCTTGATTGAAAAAGTACCCCAGTGTTCATTGCTGCACTATTTACAATAGCTAGGACATGGAAGCAACCTAGATGTCCATTGGAAAATAGTGCATATACACAATGGAATATTACTCAGCTATAAAAAGGAATGCATTTGAGTCAGTTCTAATGAGGTGGATGAACCTAGAACCTGTCCTACAGAGGGAAGTATGAAAGACAAATATCATATATTAGTGCATGTGTATGTTGACAACTGGACAATGGAATCTAAAAAGATGGTACCAGTGTGCAGGAAACCAAAGTAGACACAGACATAAAAAAGACTTTTTGGACTCAGAGGAGAGGGTTGGGTGATTTGAGAGAATAGCATTGAGACATATATATTACTTACGTAAAATAATAGCCAATGGAAGTCTGAGTATGACACGGGGCACTCAAAGGCAGCGCTCTGTGACGACCTGGAGTGATGGGGGAGGGGAGGGGTTTGGGGAGGGAGGGGACACATGTATACCTGTGGCCAGTTCATGTTAATGCACGGCAAAACCATCACAATATTTTAATTACCCTCCAATTAAAAAAAAGGAAATGTTCCTGAAGAATAAAGAATGAAAGTACAGGAACCCAGAATGATAGTAAAAGACTCACAGTGGATCAGAGGCAAGCTGCAAACTCAAGTCGTCAGGAGACAGAAGAGGCAAGGCTAAATACGAGTAAGAAGTCAAAGGACCCTATCTTTCAGTACCAGCCAGCTGTTTCCCAGTTGAGCTCTGTTGCCAGATCTTAAGGAGTTTTGATATGCTACAGTACAGATGTTAACATAAAATCTGATTTTTAAATGTTGGCAACTAAATTCACATTTAAAAAATATTTAGTGTATAAGCTGTCCATCTGTAAGAGCAGGACGCGAGTCAGCATACAGACCTGGTTTTGAATCCTGTTTATTTACAACCTTTCTGACTTGGGAGAAGGCAGTTTAACTTCTGAGCCTCAGTTTTCTCATATAAAACAGGGCTAATGACACCTTCCCCATAGCAATGAGGACTAAATGATATAGTGCATGTAAAGGAATGAATGCAGTGCCTAGCATACAAAAGCATCAATAAGGACTATTTAAAAGTGTACAAAGGACCATTTTATATGCCAGTATATGCACATATGGGCTTCCCTGGTGGCTCAGAGGTTAAAGCTCTACCTCCAATGCGGGAGACCTGGATTCGATCCCTGGGTCGGGAAGATCCCCTGGAAAAGGAAATGGCAACCAGCTCCAGTATTCTTGCCTGGAGAATCCCATGGACAGAGGAGCCCAGTAGGCTACAATCCACGGGGTCGCAAAGAGGCGGACACGACTGAGCGACTTCACTCTCCACTCACTCATATGCACATATACAAAATGATGCTTCCTAAGTTAGTAATTTGTTAGCTGGTTTCTTTCATTATATACACATATATTAGCTTAAGGCCTTAGTTAACCCAATCTCTTTTTCAAAATGTATCTTAATATTTATTTGTTAAATGAAAGGAGTGGTAATCCCCCACTGATGAGGCTAAGGCGCTTTGTCTAACCTTCCACCCAGGTCTGCTTTTGAGTAGTGTGGAGAGGCTGGAATTCATCACTGCACTTAAGAGCTTGAGCAAGGGGCCAACCAGAGCAGATTTTAGTTCTCCAAGTGGAAGTTTCCTGACTCTTGTGCTACAATTACCTGTTTGTTCATTTTTTTCAGATCTTCTTGGTGAAAACATTTATCTCGTCTTGTTTATCATAGCATTACGAATATTTAACTGCTTTTTAGTTCAGACAAGTTTTGTTCCAGATGAATACTGGCAGTCTCTTGAAGTTGCACATCATATGGTTTTCAAATATCCTTTGTAGTTTTCTATTCCTGGACTGGAAATGTGTATTCATATCAGAAACTGTGTCAGCTCTATGACTTGTTTTCAATCAGTTTTCCATATTTTCTCCAAGTAATTTTAGCCTATAAAAGTGTGCCATTATTTTAGGCTAATATTTCTTCTATAGCTTTCTTTGGTGTTAATGTACTAAGCCTTTGGCATATATTCCCACAGTGCTCAGTAACATGGAAGATATAAATTAAGTAAAAAAAAAAAATTCCTGCTTTGAAGAAATTTAGTCAGCCAGCTACATTTTTATTTCAAATACCCTATATAAAATACTTTGTTTTTATTTAAGATTCTTTGCTGAAAAATAAGTTTTATATGTAGAAATGAAAAGAGGTTTTGTTTCAATGCTACTTAACATTAGTCCTTAATATTACTAATTATGGTTATTTGACCTGGGAATGGACAGAAAGATTGAGGGGTTATACTTACCCCTTAATCTTTGCAAGCATTTACAAGATTCTGCATCTTTTGGGGAAAGATAGTGTTCACTTGCTGGTAAGTTTAAATAAAGGTAATCAAAACAGTCATTAACAGATTTCATCCTTTTTTTAAGGTTAATGTATATTAATTAATTATTATTAAATATTAATGATAGTTCAGTTCAGTTGCTCAGTCGTGTCTGACTCTTTGCGACCCCATGAACCACAGCACGCCAGGCCTCCCTGTCCATCACTAACTCCAGGAGTCCACTTCAACCCACGTCCATTGTGTTGGTGACGCCATCCAACCATCTCATCCTCTATCATCCCCTTCTCCCGCCTTCCATCTTTCCCAGCATCAGGGTCTTTTCCAATGAGTCAGCTCTCCGCATCAGGTAGCCAAAGTATTGGAGTTTCAGCTTCAACATCAGTCCCTCCAGTGAACACCCAGGACTAATCTCCTTTAGGATGGACTGGTTGGATCTCCTTGCAGTCCAAGGGACTCTCGAGTCTTCTCCAACACCACAGCTAAAAAGCATCAATTCTTCTGCACTCAGCTTTCTTTATAGTCCAACTCTCACATCCATACATGACTACTGGAAAAACCATAGGTGGACTTTTGTTGGCAAATAATGATAATTAATTATTTATGGAAGTTTGTTTTTAAAAGACTACTGTTGCTGAACTCTGACCATATCTGGGAAGCCCAGGGTTCAAAGACACACGGTAATGTGTAAGTGTTCAATATGTGCTAAAAACATTAAGCATTAAAGTGTTCTGCTGTGAGAAATTCTATTAATAAATACAGATGTTCAGAATGACTATATATTATTTGTACTTTAAATTTCCTTCATAAAAGCATCACTTAAAGTGTTATATCTTATTTTTTAACTTGTAAACAGAAGACCATGTTATGTCAGCCTATGAAAACTAAATACATATAAACCTACTCAGGATTTAGTGTTGAAATTAAAAATTAGGAAAATTAACTTGACAGAAATATATTGATATGTACAGTCATTGTGCTGTGTAGTAATTAGCCATCAAGAGTGAGCAGGGTTGTAATTCCTAGATAATGAATTTCTGGGGTCAGTTGCCAGGAA